GAGTCATAAACTCTTGGAACCGACTCCCCGAAGAAATGGTGCCTGCAACCTCATCTGATTCGTTCAACAAGTGTTTGGACAACCGCAGAAATTTACTAGAAAAGGATTAACACAGGCTCCAAGCCCTCTATCCCCGACCAATAAATGTGAAAGCTGAAATATTGGACGGTTTCTTCGTTGTTTAACTGCGTCACAGAGAAATTATTATAGCTAGCGAGGCGGCTTTGTAAGTTTCGCTATTCTGTTTTTATTTGACTTTTCGTATTCTGGATACATTGTGACTATGGGGATATGGTTCAGACTGCTCACAAAATAACTTAGTATCATGTTGGATAATACCAGCATTTGAAATGTTACCGTTAATGCTCTGTAGATATGTAGTCAAGTCTTGGAAACTTAATTAAGTTTCCATGTCTGGGTAACTGAAGTTACCCAGACATCCGTTCGTTACTCGAATGATCACGTAAGTGTTTCCATGTTCTATACGAACTCGTGTTGTCTTAAGGATGAGCTCCCTGAATTAGGAGTATTGTCTGAAAGACCACAACCTGACGTGTTGCTATCATTGGAACATATTTCTAAATGGTTGTTGACTTAACCCCATTCTTACCATGGTACATATGCATTACAACAGATAAAGTAATTAGTGGGAAAGGTGGTGTAGTCGCCCTATATACTCGCGACGGCATAGGGATTAGGTCAACCTCGGCAGCAGCTTATGATAGCGACACTAGTGAAGCCGCAAGCTGACACTAATTTGAACAAGTTCACTGTGATGATGAGAGTAATTTGTTCAAGTCCTGACAGCCAAGCTGATAACACCGTATTCAATCACATCAGTAGTAGTGAAAATATAGGTGTCTAATACTAGGTGACTTAAATGCCCCACATATTAATTGGGAGGAACTAACATCTAGATTCAGATACCGAAGGCTCGTTTCGTATATGCCAGTCCAATCCGCCTCTGGCGTAGACGTGATTTCCGGCTCTCGACCAAACGATGTGTGTACTGCTCAGCAGTTTGCTCCGTTCTCCTTTATGGCTGTGAGTGGAAGATATGAATAGGCCGGCTAGCTGTCTTTAAACATAGTTGCCTGCGTTCTGTCTCGTGTTAGCTGGTGGTATAATAGAGTGAGTGATATTTAGGTGTAGCGTCAGACGCTAGGTGAGAAGGGAAAGTCAGTAAATGTGGTTGTGAAATTACACTAATTAGGATGGTTAGGACATATGTGACGTATGCTTAGCAATCTATCGCCTTCCTCGACAATGGGCAATGTTAGCTGACATAGGTTCAGGTTGGAAAAGAGCTAGTGGTGTTCAAACCAAAACATGGCTTCATCAGTCAATAAAATCCACGACAGTTTAAGTCACGTAGAAAGTTGTAGACTTCTTGGTTGGGGTCTTCGGGACGGTAAACACCAATGGCTGGAGACAATTGGTGATATGGCTCAAAATCGTTCTCAATGTTCTTCGTTGCTACTATTCTTTTTGCCTCATATTTCTGTTTGTTATCTCTCAGTCTTTTGAATCTCTCTTTACTGTCTTCTCTTGCTTTGTGTGCTACATGGAGGGAGTGTGGCAACTCGAACTGCTGCACATTAGTGAAAAGTTCTATGTTGAGACCAGTCATTCAGATTTAGATGCAGATAACAAAGTCAGTAGGTCCTTGTTGCTTGTGTTAATCCTTGCAATATATACCTGCAGAGATCTAATTTCTTGAAAGCCTTCGCCGATGGAGCTGATCCTACTGAATCAGGTAACAAGTGTCAGTCATTGACCATTCTCAGAGAATCTTAGTTCCACACGTGTTTTATGCAACCTCGGTTTGAGCAACTTTTTGTGGTGACCTCGTAAATTTATTTGAGAGGGAGAGGAAACAATAGAAAGGTCAATCCCTGAATCACCCTTTAATATACGGTATGCCAAAATTAAATCGCCTCTCCATAGTTATGATATTGGGAAGAGATTTAAATGCTCCATCCTCATGTTATAAGGAAGGTACTGTTTCCTGGATGTGTGCCTCCTTTCTGAAGCATGATCTCACCGCTTGTATGCAGTATTCTAGATAGGGGCTGACATATATTGCATAGAGTACTCGGAACATAGGCTAGTCTTATCGTTTGAAGGCCCTGCGAAGTGCCCTCAGCATTCGAAAAGCCTTGGCTGTGGCTGCATTGAAATTCGTAAGTGTTTTCAAATCATTGCTGGTAATGATTCCTAGGTCCTTCTGTCCGTTAACATCAAGTAGTTCTGTGTCCCCTAGGGAGTACGATGTATGAGACTTCTGACCTAAGTGCATTGCCGTACTTTTCCTAGAATTAATTTCCAAACTCCACACGTTCGACCACTCAGCTGATTTCTCTAGATCATCGTTATTTTTTACCGCTTTCCAGATCTTAATGTCGCCCGCAAATAATAATGAAGATGAAGTAAAAATCATTGGTAGTTCATTGATGTATAATAAAAATAGCAAGGGGCCTAATACAGTTCCCCGAGACACTCCACTGGATACTGATTTCCACCCTGATTGTACACCATTAACCCTAACCTTCTGCCTTCTATCCATTAGGTAATCATTAAACCACTCACATAGGCATTGGTCTAGTCCAAAACCCTTAAGTTTAGTAAGGGAACCTAAATGGAATACTTCTTTGAATGCCTTACTAAGATGAATAAAAACCACGTCCAACAGAAGGTTCTTATCTGTGGCTTCCCTAGCTAACAAAATTTGTCAGGCAGAATCGTCCTTGTCGGAATCCATGCTGTTCCACCTCCAGCAAGCCATGTTTTTCCACATTTGCTAACAGATGATCCCTAATAATTATTTCCAGTGCCCTTGCTATAATGCATGTCAGGTTTGCCGGACGTTAGATACCAATTGCCTGTTCCCCTCTTTGAAAATAGGGCTTATAATGGCGTCCTTCCAGTCCCTGGTTAGCGTAGCTTGGGTCAGAGACATTCGGAAAGTCTCCGTAATTGGAATATATATTATATCCACCAAGAAAATTGACAGTTAACGGTGAAGTCCATCGGGCCTAGGTGATTTACCTGGCTTCAGTCTAGACAGTAGTTTGAGGACCGTTTTATGCTTTACTGCAATTGATGGCATCTCAATGGCGATAGCAGTGTCTTCGCCGTATCCCCTGAATGGTACGATCAGACGAAATGACACTGTAAAAGCATTCCGAGAGGTTTTTAGCTTTTGTTTCATCTGATTCGATCGTCTCTCGAGTATCGCTTATGAGTGACTTTATACCACTGCTAATTTTAGTCCTACGTTTAATATACGAGTAGTCCTTTTGGATAATGTATACAATCCGGCACTACTGTCTCTCGTACTCTACTTCCATCAGCTATATACTTGGAAAGGTTTTGTACTCTGCGTAGTCACTTCGAAACTCCTATCTATCTGTCATAGTAAATCGGTCCCATAAGTTCTGATTTCCTAATAACCTTATTTCACTATTAATCCAAGGTGGTTTGTGTGATAGTTTTCGAGACGTAGATCAAGGTACAAAAGGTGCAGTGACGCAATCTAGTATATTCCTAAATCCCAACCAAGCTTCCTTGACAGTTCGATTTGTATCAACTGACCAGTCAACTAGGTTTGCTGCGTTTCAGATTGCAGCTATATCCGCTTTGCAAACATTTGGGCGAGCAGATATTGACATATGTATGAAAGCATGGATCTTAAACGTAAAAGTAGTAACTACATGGTCACTACTACCTAGCGGCAGGAGGCACCTAATGTCACCGACATTCTTCTAGTGTGTTACCACCAAGTTTAAAGTAGACAGATCATGTTCAGGGTGGTATCGTGTTGGTGCGAGTATAAGCTGCACAAATGCATATTCAAGTGCTAGAAATTGCTCAGTCAATATACATATAATAAGAATGAAGATAATTATAATCATGTATTAAGGGGGTATGTTTATGGAACAGCTTGTTGCTAATCTCTACAAATTAGCTGGTCTTGAATTCTGTAACTACTTTCATGTCCACCTTAAAACTTAGATACCACTTTTTCTAACATCTATTAGTTAATTATTTTGTTCTGTAATCTCTTATTTTCACACCTATACCCAAAAATGATAATTCTTATGTATTAAACCAACCTTATGATTAGTATAATTTTAATGTGGACAAGAGCTGTGCATTGGCGTAGAGCCGATGATGAGGAACCATTTGGAAAAGAAAATATTTCTTTGCTCGGCTTGTTTTCTCTAAACTCGTGATATAAAGCTACCTTCACCAATGCCTTCGTTGGGAATCCACTTCACCTTGACATGGTGGACCCCATTGGTTACAACTTGATGTTAGCCCGACTAAGTACAAAAACTATCAACATTACCTTATTTGGCGCATATTTCATGTGGTAAGAAATGTATCAGGTATGAAATTATTGGCTTACTGTGAAACACTGAATAAGCAGGCCTTTCTGTTCTTCCTATCGTTAATAAATAATTGTTACCATTTTTTTTATCAAACTTACCAACTTAGTTTTATATTTGTTTTTATAGGTATTATTACGAATACAAGTGTTTCTGTTAATTGTTTTCTCTCCTACTATTGAAAGAGAAAATTAGATGTTATATTGTACTACATGCTGAAAATCCCACACTGTTTGGAACATCTGTATAACGATTGGGATGGCATGCAGCTACTCTAGATTTGTGTTGACAGTGTCTGGTTGTTCCAGCAACTACAGGGATTAACTTGACGGAGGGTTAATGCAAATGCGTCGGTGGTTCAGAGGCAGAATGCTGGCCAACCATGCATATGGTCCGTGGTTCGAATCCCCACCGATGTACTAAACTTCGCTAAACTGGCAGTAAAGCCTATGAGGAAGGAACCTCACCGCGTAAAAACAAAACCGCTGCTACCGAAACTTAAATGCTCTAGCTTGAATTCCTATGTTCCACTTGGAATGTAAAGGGATAAAACAATGATAAATAATAAATATTTTTTTTCACTTTTAGAGCTTCCCCACCGACCGAAATATGACAGAAGAAATCCGCTCTTTGAATTCCACCACTACTTCATACGATTGTGAAGCTCAGAGTCAAAGCATTGAAGTTACCATAGGTCAGTCTCAAGGGTGTTCTTCAGTGGATCGATGGACAGATGCAAGTTATATATTCTATTCAAATTGATGTAAATGTAGAATAGAAATAGTTTACCAGGGCATAAAGCGTTTCAGAAGATGTTTTGCAACATGTTCACTACTCCTAAGTTTATCGAATGGTTGAAACATGAATGGCTGTACTCAGGCATAGACACGTATGTTTGATTTCTGTTTTGGTCTTATTTGTGACAGGGAGATATTTTTAAGACTTAATGATTTTCAATTGATATTGCGTCAACATTTGCCTACTTTAAAGACCCGAAGTTTGACTCGAGCTCAGTGGTCTATTATTCGACGACTTATAGGTAAACCACGTAGGTTCAGTCCCACATTCCTTTCTGAGGAACGCCATACCGTGCAAGAAAAACGTAAAAATATGCAATATATACAACACCTCATTTTAACAAGTTCTCTCGGGCCAATTGCATATGAACATTTAGACAACCTTCTTATGTGTTTACCGTCAACAACACATATTCCTCTTCGACTACCGGTTGGTACCAAAGTATGTGTTAGGTGAGGATAAATTTCAATCTTTAGTGTTTTCATCTTCAGTTTTTGCACTCCATTTCATGGCTTGTATCTTGGAGTAATTCATGATTCTTGCTCAAGAGATGGACATTATGGTGTGTGGATCGAAGAATTAATCGTATCAACTGACTCCTTGGGAATGAAACCTTCTAGCTACTATGGGTTTCGACTTGTTCCCGAAGAAGATGTATTCACTCTACCGAATCAACCAATTTCACCCCCTGTAACTATTTCAGATGTTCGTTCTTATTTCAAAGAAAATGTCATAAGCAATGGTATCTCAGTTTTTTCGTCTGACACCACAAATGCTAATAATAATGGAACTGTTGATATATCAAATAATCATCATCATGACTATGTCAATCGTAAGTAAAACAAATTCATTCAGTATACTTAATTCACTAGAGCCTTCATCTATTGGTATTGGTGGACCTTTATTAAATGGAAGTGTATGCGAGACAGAATGTCATACGCAAGTTAACAATTCAACAGAAAATATTTTAATATCACAGTCTAAATATAACAATCCTGTGACAGTGCCACACTATGCTGAACAGCCAGGTATTTCAAACAGTTTTGATCCTCAGACTCATACAAATTTTCTCATCACCTTAGTAAGTTTTGTGTTTAAAGTGCATTTGTAGTGTTAACTAAATTTAATTTAATTTTTTTTACTATCATAGTCTAATAATTTCTGTTTGTATAATTATCTGAGTGATGTCTGTTCTCCTCTCTCTATACATAGAGTAATACGGAGTTCAAATAGGCGACAATGTTAAAAGTTGCACAGTTTGAGCATTGTCTAGCGTTACACTTTTGTCAAGTTGGTATATTTTTGGACTTGATAAGGTTTTCAGTATTTAATATGATGGTTTTGACTTGTTACCAGGGAATAGTCTTATGGACTTAGAATATGCAGATGACATAGTCCTGTTAGGGGGAGATGCTGACAAAATGCAGAGTCTTCTGATCACCTTGAGCAGCAATCTTCGTATGTTTGGCATGCGATTCGTCCCTGTAAAATCTAAGATGCTGCTACAGGACTGGACTACATTAACTCCTAGCTTAGTGATAGGGAGTGAAGTGATAGAACATGTTGACCACTTCACCTATTTGGGAAGTTGTGTCAGCACTAACGGACTGATTGGCAACGAAATCTCAGCAAGGATCCAAAAAGCTCGAGCTGCTTTCTCTGACTTACACCATCTCTGGCGTAGGCGTGACATCCGGCTGGCTATCAACCAAGGGACGTGTGTACTGCTCATCAGTTCGCTCCGTCCTTCTGTATGGCTCTGAAACATGGCCAATACGAGTTGAAGACATGAAAAGGTTGACTGCTTTCGATCACAGATGTCTGCGATCTCTTTCTCACGTTAGGTGGTATAATAAGGTAAGTAATGTTGACGTTAGGCGTAGAGTGTTGGGCAAACAGGGAAAATCAATCAAGAGTAAGTGGTGGCCAAACAAAAACATGGCCTCATCAATCCATGAAATCCTTGACAGTTAAACTGAGTCAGGTAGGGAGATGCAGACACCCGGGTTGGAGCCCTCGGGACTGACTCTAGGAATCAATGGCTGGAGACAATAGGTGACATGGCTCAAAATCGTTGTCAATGACCAGCGCAGATGTATTCAGTCTCTGTAATCTTTCATATTCCTTTCTACCATTACCCATTCTGTTTCACTCTTATACTTGTCAAACTCTATTGATTCACTTCATTCATCTTGTCTACCTCTGTGTGCTATTTGGAACGTGGCAACTCGAACTGCTGCACTTCGGTGCCGAGTTCTATGTTGAATCCAGACAGACAATATCATGTTTGAACTAACTTATGCATACATCAATGGCAGAATGTTTATTGAAACACGTATCTGAATGGAAGGAATAAAATGTGAGCAAAACAATTGTAGAAAAAAAGCAGTGTTTAATGAATTCATGAATTTCGGTAGTAGGACTCCTCCACAACTGTGGACGCTCTACAAAAACATTGTTATTTAATACAACTTTAGTTTAAGAACAAATACATACAAATATGTGATCTGTCAGTAGTGAGTGATAATGTTAACGTCACTATTAAGTGAATAGCATTCATCAAAGTACATATTAACAATATAAACTAGAGTTATTGTGGTAGAATTAATACAATTATAAACATCTAGATATAATAATATTATTAATAATAAAATAGGTTACGAAAATAACCAACCAACAACAACAGCAGCAACATCCAGCGCCAATCACCATCAACGGGGGAGATTTGAAAGAGGTTACTTCATTCACCCCCTATCTAGGGAGCATTGTCTCAACTACAGCCAGTCGGAACGGACGAGAATGTCAAATCGAGCGAGATTCGGGAAGGCGAGAAACACACACATTCATCAACCTGAAACCAATCTGGAAATCTTCGTAACTCAGCATCAACAACAAAACTCAGTCGGATTTTCAATACAAACGTCAAGTCAGTCAGTTCTTCTATACAGAACGGATCAGAAAGTTGGTGGGCGGGTCACAAAGAATATTTCCAACAGCCTGTTGCAGACCTTTATCAACAACTATCTTCTCTCTATGCTGAAGATCAGATGGCCACGCGGAAGGAATCACCAACCAAGGAACTATGGGAACAAACAAAAGAGAACAAAAACAATCGCCCAACAAATATGCAGGAGAAAGTGGAGATGGATTGGACACTCGCTGAGGAGGCCACTGGGTGAAATTGCGCGCGCATCAGTCCATTGCTCGAGTGGAACTCGAAAGGGAAGCGGCGAGTAGGACTTCAGTGTAAGGGTGACATGGAGGAGATCGTATGAAGAGGAGTTGAAAGAGTATGGACTAACATGGATGCAGGTGAGAAGTACAGCAGAAGCAAGTGGAGACGTGCAGTTGAAGCCCTGTGTTCCACTAGGAACCCAAGGGAACAATAAAATAATTATTAACAAAATACAAAGAACCTTCGTAAAAATAATTAAATTTAACACATGTAAACCATATAGGACCAAATAACATGTCTGGTATAAACTCATAAGATACTTTGAACACTCCTCACTAAGCTCAATATTAAAATATGATTTTCTATTTGCACATATATTAAAAAAACTAACTGTATGTTAGATAAAATAATGATGACGATAATAATAGTAATAATAATGAAAAAATGTTGTAAGGAACAGAGGGAAGCGCGGAGGAAAGTTATTAAGATAAAATAAAAGTATGCTTCCAAGGTACATAGATCCAGCTTCTTCAGTCTAATTTCTCAAGCTTCAGCAAAACCGAGAGCTTTTTTCCCCCTCAATTACTATAAACTATAGAGCTTTCAGTCAACGTCATAACGTGATCATAGTCCAATAAATATCGAGTAACTGAGCTCTTTGGGATGCCGGCATGCGTGTACACCAGAAAGCCATTTGCGACGGTAGTGGTTACCAACGCCACCTGTTCATCTAAGTTTTCGCTACACAATGTCGAATACAATTAGTTCTTGGTTCCACAGAGGATATTTGAATAACCACTTTTCACTTGAACTAGATTCATTCACAAACAATGATTAAAATCTGTAGTACATAAGGCTGTCTTTCACATATTATCTCTTGAGGCAATATTCTAACATAAGTATGGTGAGATTACTTCATAGGTATATATTGCACGACTTCCTGTACTTTTGTTTTAATTATCTTCTATACTGTTTTTTTCGATATTGAATATCATTGGATTACTATTTAATCTATATTTGTGAGCTATTTTAAGGTGCTACCACTGAAACTAATGGACTTCTGTTCGAGTTTCTAAACTATTTATAATATACTACTTAGAAGTTCTCTCCATCCTCTTTGATAGCTTTGAGACACATGGCCATTGAAAGTGGAAGGCACAAAAAGGCTGGCTAGCTGTCTTTGATCATATAGGTGTTTGTGTTCTATCTCCCATGTTAGTTGGTATAATAAAGTGAGAAATATTGAGGTTAGGCATCGAGTGTTAGATAAAGAAGAGGAATCAATCGATAGAGTTTTGAAGCGGCTGCATCGATTGAGAAATGGTTAGGACATGTGTTACACATGCATGCTTAGTCATCGCCTATCTCGACAACAGCCAATGTCATCTGACATATGGTCAGGTTGGAAAAGAGAAAGCCAGTGATGGTGAAACCAAACCTCAGAATCAGTCCATGGAATCTTTAACAGTTGGTTTGAATCAGCTACGTAGGGAGTGGTGTAGACTGCTTGGTTAGAGTCTTCGAGAGGCTATTAACCAATGGCCGGAGACAGTTGGTGATGTAGAACTATGTATATATATATATATAGTTTTATAAAGAAATTGTATCCGGTGTGGGAATTAGATCAAACGTGTGAATAGGTGAAATAATAATAATAGTATGAAATGCAAATAAAATATTTGTGATTATGATTATAGTTTAATGTCAAGTGGCAAAATAATTAATGTCATATATAGAATAATACATAAGGTGTATCGATTTTGGAAAGAGGTACATAATTATAAGATTAGTAGACGAATATAAAAAAATGTTACGTAACATAGTGTGAAATTTGATAACACAGAATTCAGTGTTGTAAAAATAAAAAATTAATTTTGTTTTAGAATGACAACTGGGACAAGTGGAAACAATTCAGAGTGAAAACAGTAATAATATTAATAAGAATTGTAGAAATAAGGGAAAGGTACATAGAATAACTAGATAAACAAAATAAATAAATGTCCATCCCTCTACGACCAAGGTAGAGGTAGGGATTGTACATACTTCATTGGTGAACACAAAGGTTTGGCTTAAAGTCATGAATCGCCAATACTTCCGTTGTGTTTAGAAGTCTGTGATGAAGAAAACGCGGGAAGTTGGCATGGGTTCTGTTTATGATTTAAAATCATGGGCAGGGTTGACAGAGTGACAGAAGCACATCAGGCTTTCTACAATAGAGCTTCGCACACACTTCCTTTCTCCCTTGTAGAACCATGCTGGAATATATTCTCGTATCCGTGTGGGAAGCGTCCTTTGGCTACCGCCAATGTACCTTGCTCCACAAGAGCAGGTGATCTGATAGATGCAAATGGAGGTGGTCAGACGGGGGAGCTTATCTTTTACAGAGATAGAGGACAATTTACGACTCGTGAACGTCATATGTAATTTTGCTTCAAAGAACGTCTTACTGACTGATTTAGAGAGACGATTTTGGTGATGTGTCTTAAAATCGTTCCCAGTGACCCAGACTCACTCACTCTTTGTGATCTCCCATATCTATTCAACCCAAATATTTTTCGATGTTACAATTCTTTCTCCCTCACATTTGTGCTTATAACTGTCCTTTGGACTCTCTTTTTTCTATCTCTTGCCTTCCTTTGTGTGCTACATGAAATGTGTCTATCAACCCGAATTGGTGCACTTCTGTGCAGAGTTGTATTTTGAATCCAGCCAGTCAGTCAGTTATTTATCTTTGAGTCTAGCATCTGGTAATAGTGATCTACACACTAATCATAATAATAATAATAATAATTTGCTTTATTTCAGAAACAGTATTAGTGGTACAGTGTGGAATTGCCAGCACATACCTACAATATTGCATCTAATTTTATCAAACATTTGAAAGAAATATTTCAAAAAATAAAGACAACAACAAAAACAAGAAACACACAAAAATAATAAAAATGCGAAAAAATGCCAAGAAGTAGAAAGGAAATAGACAATATAAAATGATATCTCAGTATTGGGTAGTGGAAGCTATGATATGTGTATGCGTGGTGACAGTAAAACTATAGTTATACTAGAAGTTATGAAATGATATTAAGAATGTTTATCGCCAAGATGATCAGTTAATTTGATTGAACAACACTAAACATAAAATAAACATTTTAGGTTTTTTTATTGTCAGTTCTAATGCTGTGTTTGTAGTGGTAGTGTGAGTAATCCTACATAATACAAAATTTTAAGATGTTGATAATGGCGTTCACAACCAAGATTGTCAGTTAATATTGCCGAACAAACAAAAAAGAACAATCGCAAAACTAATATTACATGAAGGTTAAAGACAGGACAATTTTGTATTATTCATAGTGATAATATAGTCGGAAACAGTAGATACACAAAAAGAAGAAATAGAATAAAGTACGAAAAAGTAAGCCAATGTTAATAATTTTAGGTGGCTAAGTATGTTGAAGAAGGTGTTCACTATTGATATGTATCCACATATATATATTTATGTGTGTGTGTGCATGTTGGTCTCTCTTTCTGTTTGCTCGGTTAGTCTGTGACCACTTCACTTGTGTGAACTTGTCTCCTTTAATAATGTATATTCTCCTTATATTATATTATATATAATATGAGTGTTGTTGACATTCCGTTGCTTGGTGACATATATCCATATATGTTTGTTTACATGTCTGCTATATTCGCTATGTATAATTGGATCGACACTCCATTATAATTAGCCATTCATGTTAAGACTGTCTAATGATTTTCCCACGCTTGTCTGAATTATTTATATATATTCGCATTTACAATTTGTGTGAACTACTTTACTTTACAACTACTTTACTTACTTATCACTTTGGTGTGAGACCATTTATTTTCGTCTCCTTGTGTTTGGACAATAGAAGTATCATCGCAAACCTAGTGGTCTTCTGATTTCCGCCTTCTCGCGTCAGGACCATTAGTTTCTCGACCAGTCCATAACAATAATTTAGCGACGAGTACATAACAAATTGGCGACGGGGAAAACTAGTACATAACAATTTGGCGACGGGGAAACTAGTACGTAACAATTTGAGTGAAGTGGTCACAGACTAACCGAGCAAACAGAAAGAGAGACCAACATGCACACACACACATAAATATATATATGTGGATACATATCAACTATATAATACAAATAAGAGAGAAATAAAAGAGCCAAAATTATGTTATTAACAACAAAGGAAGTCATAGGTTTCGCGCTTAACATTGTCTCTGTCACTTAGAACACGGGCTGGCCAAATATGGTATCGTTGAGTTCCTATACTTGGTTGTACGAGCATATATTATTTTGTACCGATTTCTGGTTCTACCTGATGAGATGCAAGGAGAGAGTTGGGAATAGAGGGGGTATTGGGGTCGGAGAGTATGGCTTTAGACCATTTCTCACATGTATTCAGATGCCTTTCTACTAATGTAGTGACGAGCTGACTGAGTTTCACACCACTAGTCCTACTAACTACCTTCAACATCCTTCTCAGGATGGTATAGTCCTTTTTAGTAACCCAGGAATGACTAACGGGGAGCAGTAAAGTAGAATAGGTAAGATACAAGAGTTGACAAATTGTGAAAGCAGAGGTTGAGTGACTCCAGTTAGTCTGAGTTTCTTAATGTAGTAGGTTAGACGGAATACTTTCTTAGAAACCGTTAGGATATGAGATGTCCAAATAAGGTCGGAAGATAGAACTAATCCGAGGTATTTTGCATTAAACTTAGTTTCAATTTTAGTCCTCTCAGTGCTACAGGCTTCATGAGTACCTTCTAGTGTTTGTAGATCTCGTTTATGCCTAAAGGAGAAGTCATTAGTCTGGTATTTTTGAGGGATTCAGCATGAGGCCATTTAGTTTAGACCACTGACTGATGTCCGACACGAAGCTATTTAATTTGAAGCAGTCTGACTGAGACTTAACGGGAAGCGAAACAGTCAGGTCATCTGCATATTTGACGAAGTTGATTTCGTCTGAGAGAGGTAAGTCATGTAAAAAGAAGGAAAAGAGAAACGAAAAGAGAAAAGCACCCTGAGGAACTCCAGTTTCAGGAAGCAAAGGAGAGGAAGATACACCATCATATACCGTGTACTAGATTCGACATTACCAAGGCTACTGCTTCTCCAGAAGCCTAACATTTCCTCTTAGTGTATATGTAACTGGAGAAGATAAGAGACTTGGTAGGTTGGGCCTTTATTAAGGAAAAACACATCGGATTTATACATTCATAGCCACATTAAAGTTGCGCTAGGTCAGAGAGCAATAAATTGTTCTGATTAGTTTGCTATTGACCCAAGGTTAAACAGTTTGTCCAGTCAGATTATTTCATGTCTACAATGTAAACTAAATTCGGATGTGAAGAATAAACGCTTCTGCCCTTGCAGCCATTGACTTCAAATGTTGTGTTCGACTGTTACCTATCCATCTGCATCTATGCACTACTTATAAATCTCGTCAGCAACACACTCCACAGATACCAACTAATTTAGAAATATCTTTTTAATCTAACAACTTTTGAGTTATAAATTAATAGGTCAACTTGTCTTTTTCTTGATTATCTCTAATAATAATAATAATAATTTGTTTTTTCTTCATGTTTTTCTTTTGCACAATACTCCAACAGGTTAAAGTACACAAGATTTTGGATTGTAAACGATCATCTGTAGATATGCTAAGACAAATGAATAATACTGCTGAAGTCAAGGTATTCACAATGATTCGAGTGATAATTAATTATCGTATTTTTTGTTTGTTTATAGATCGCAGAGAATCGAAATAATATCACTGTACAATTTCAGCACACTTATGCCACGTTAATTTTGCATTTAGATAAGCTAAATCAAGAATTAAAACACTTCATGGATGAATTATTAGTATATATATCTTATGTAAGTTTATTTGTACATGATGTTCAATTTATTAAAACATACATGTGACATATGTGCAGTTGACAGAATTGAGGAGAATTCACCCTAGAAGTGAAAGTGAGTCAAGTTAAGAACAGTGCTAATAAGGAGTAGAAATGTAATAGTAGCGGGGAGAGGGGTACGAGGTGGTATGGAGAAAAATAACGTAATTGAAAAACTGAAAAAATAGGATTAACGACGACATTGGTTGGTGCCAGTCGTACTAAATCACGAATTGGTAGAAGTTAGAATTCATGGGCTAGCGATTGAATCGGGTCCCAGTGGCTGAATGGTAGACGAGCTTGCCTTGTAACCGTAAGGTCCTGGATTCAAACCCTAGTAGGTGCATACTACCGATGATTCCCAAACTAAGATGAAACAGCTGGCTGTCCAGTACTCCCTGCTGGTTTTCAATGGTTCTCTAACTGATATCAATCCGTGATCAACTCGAAGGAGATCAATTATCTATCCAGTTTTAAGACAAATTAGGTCCATTGTAAGTTCAGTAACTGAACAAACGTCTTCTGTATGCAGAGTTCAGGATACAATTTGCGGATTGACATTGCTTCTGTGGCCAGCAGGAATTCTTTTAGGAACGTACTCTGTAAATAACTTTGAAGGTACTTGGCGGGTTCGCTTGCTCTGTCTGTCTGCATGTATTCGACATGGAACTTTGCACCGATGTGCAGCAGTTCAAGTCGCTACACTTCATGTAGCACACCAAGAAAGTGAAGAAAGTAGAAGAAATGTATAAATAGAGACAGTAAACAGAGGTGTGAGACAAAGGGTTCACTTGGAGTTCAGAGTTGACCAGGTATTCCATAATCGAGCCATGGGGGTGGGGGGGGGAGGATCTTTTTTCTCCTTTATTAAACCGTAAAAGTAAGTGTTTGATGATAGACGTTCAGAAAGCGAATCCTGGGTACACCCAATAATACCTACAGGAGTAGCTGAATTGAATTTTAGTTTTGGATTACTTCGATCTACATCATATATTTTTTTACAACATGCTTCAAGATCAGAATGTCCACAACCACTATCGACCGACAGAGTTGAAAACCATCTTCAGTGTATAAAAAAGGCGTGGGCGGAATTTCGTCTTTAAGTATTTGAAGAAATAAGGTGTAGGTTGTATTATTATAATTATTGTTTCTCTTAGTTCCTAGAGGAACATAGCGCTTCAGCCAAACGTCTCCATTGCGTTCGGTTCTCTACCAACGTTTTCACCTGGCTCCACGTCTGCTCACATGCTTCCATCTCCTCTTCACATTGCCTCCTCCATGTTACCCTCATATTGACGACCAACTTGCTGCTTCCCGTTCGGGTTCCACTCGACCAATGGCCTGTCTAGTGATGTCACTTGATGGTTTGTTTTCTCAGAGTATGGCCAGCTAATCCACCTCCATTTCTTCCTGCATATTTGTTGCACAGTCGGTTCCTGTTGGTTAGGTTCGCTCCCAGAGAACCCTCCCTGTTGCTAATCTTGAGTATTGAGTAGAGACAGAGGTGTAGGTTGTACGATTGTAAATCTACAGAATGACTGATATTAGCTTCTTGTAAAGGAGACGATATATCTACGATAAAATGCATCCCAAGCTCTAAATGTTCCTAAAGATACATCATGGGATTCGATAATACGGGATGACAGCCGTAATTGTTACATCTTGTGAAGGCGTATTGTAGTAAGGAATAACAAACTGGAAGACGAGAATACACATTTTCACATCAAGGGAGAAAAGTAGTGGGATGAATTAACACATACTGTATTACTAATTAGGATGAAGGTATGACAAAAATATATCTGCGTCTTAAGTTTTGAGAAATGCTTACTAGTTGCGATGTATGTTTGAATATTTGTTTCCGTCAAATTTTGTAAATAACTATTTAAGCAAAAGTCAGTTCCTGTATTAAACGTATTATTATTATTACTGTTCCCCTTAGGTTCCGAGTAGAAAATAGGGCTTCAACAACACAACTCCACTTTGTACCGCTTTCTGTTGTTCTCTTTAGTCGGGTTCTCTATTATCCATAGTCTCTTATCTCCTCCTCTATGTCATCCTCAAACCTATAACCAACTCGTCATTGTCCATTCCACTAGAGTGACCGCCTGGCGCGCGATTTCATTCGACAGTCTCTTCAGCGTGCGCCCACTCCATCTATTTTTATCTGCACATTTGTCGAGCAATAGACTCTTGGTTAGTTTGTTCCTAGCCGTAGTTTCTTGTTGCTCATGCTTTCTGATCGGCTGGCCATTCGATCTTCAATATAGGGACAACAAAGGCAGCTATTGATAAAGGCTTCAACCTGTTGAAAATGCTCACCGCGTGACGCGCTTGCCAAGTTTCTGACCCATATAGAAGAACAGACTGACTCAACATTCGTGTTGAAAATCTGAATCTAGTTCTTCATATCGAGTAAGTACAGAAGATTTCCCCACTGATTTCAAATTGATGAAGGTGTGTATCTCGCTTTCTCAGTCCTGGCCTTGACATCTTCATCTGTTCCGCCCGCCTGTAGTTAAAACGATGCCTCCTAGATAAGTGAAGGTAGTGGCCACCTTCAAATTTCACCTGTTGATGGTGATTGGTGCTGCTTGGTGTTGGTTGAGCAATGGTGGATCGACTAAAGAGAACAGCAGATAGTGGTAGAAAGTGGAGATGTGTTGTTGAGGCCTTATTTCTCACTCGGAACCCAAAGGAACAATACTAATAGAATGATATAGTGTTGTTCGATGTGTTCACTGTGTAATCTAAATCGACAATTTGTACAAACTGCATCCAATTAATTGAATTCACGTTGTGCCAGAGTACAGACAGAATGACTATTAGGTACAGGAGCTCGGGATACGAGTAGTTTTCCATTTCAAATTGTTTTTTTTTTAATAACACACCGGTTCATATCAGTCAGGCTAGATATTTACTGAGTTTCTCAAACGCTGATCAGCTCGTGTTTTCAATGCCTTGAGACAAGTTGTGTATTTAAAAAAAACCGTAGTTCAGCAGAGGGGCTCTTTCCAGCGGCGAATTCATTTTCTCAGCTGTAAAATCGCAAATATATATATCTGAGTTATTCTGTATGCATGTGTACATTAAGTTTGTCAAACAAAATTACAATCGCTTATGGTTATTTTAACCCAAAACAGGTGATGAAAATTAGTCAGTTTTGGATTGAGTTACGTAATACATAAACGGTCAAGAAAATTGGGTGTTAATGAAACCAGTGTAGTAAGTAACAAAGGTGATGAATTGTCACAAACAGTTGTTGTTAAACAGGAGTTACGTAATAATATGAATAGTTTGATGATTGCTTGAGTTGTCCTCAGTCAGAATACACACATAGGAACAAAGTAGAGAATAAGAAATTACGTAAGATTTCTAAATGAATACAAGTGGATGACTTCCGCTGACACATACAGTGTACTGCTTTCTTCCTGAGAAATAAGAATGAATGAAGCCATTTGACAGCCCAACACTCAGTTTGAGTTTCATCAAGCTTCTTTAATAACATATCCCTAGGTACTAAGTCGTAAACAGATGTGTAGTCCAGGAAAGTGAAGCGAGCAAATCTAACCACCTTGTCTAAACTGGAGATAATGTTATGATGCAGGACCGCAGCTGCATCTAAAGCACTTCTACTGTGTTTGTAGGCGAATTGTTTCCGGGATCGTTGAAGGCTTTAAGTGAAGGTTGAAGATTAAGTAAGAGTGACTTTTTCACAGTTTTGAGAAAAGGAAAGGTAATAGCACAATAGGTCCAAATTTAAAACATGTTCCAGTTGATGACTTAGGTATAGATAGGTACAATTTTCATGTCATTCCAAACGGCTGGCACAACATTTCTAGAAAAAGATTCATTAAATATGTCAATGAGGTGCGTTGGTGGCACAGCGGTTAAGACGCTCGCCGACCATACATATGGTCCGTGGTTCGATACCCGGCCGACGCACTCCTTTACCTCGCTAAGCCGGGAATAATGCCGGTAAAGAGGAAAGGTTGGGCATGAGGCTAGCAACCCCAGCCTGTAAAATTAAACACCGCTACAGAAACTTCAAGCCATTAGCTTGAGGCCCTATGTTCCACTGGGAACGTGAAGGAAAGAAAAGAAAAAATGTGTCAATGAGAGAACAGAGTAGGATGTCTGCAGTTTTTTTGAGAATAACGCCAGACAAATCATCTGGTCCCAGGCTAAAAGAAAGATTCAGTAACTGGAGACATTTTAGAACGTCGTTTCTATTGAAACCAGGGAAGCAGGTTTCACTGACACATTTGTGACACTAGAAAGCTTGGTATTTGTTGGAGAATGTATGAAAGACTTGTTCAGTATACGTACATACATAAAATGAATAGGGAATTCTGTTGTAATACTGGTTGTAATTAGATGCATAAAGGCGTAAGTTATTTAATATCTATAAAGTAGATATGGAAATCCTGCAGTTGTCATTGTCAAGTGAACAGTCTATTTGATGATGATGTCACTGCATATTAACAGATTAATGAAGTAGCTATCACACCACCACATTTACTTGTACTACATACATACTTGGGGTTTAGCAGTATGCATATTTGCAACTAGCTAAATAAGGTGACTTAAGAGTATCGGAAAGTACAGAATTACTATTCAACTTGTTAAATCCTACTTAATTTTTACAATGTGCTATTGTATAGAAACAGACGCGAAATCCTATGAATGAATAAAGTAACAGTCTCATAATAGTACACTTCCGGTCAAGGGTCAAATTAATAAAATTACAATTAGGGATTAAAATGACATAATAAACAGGGGGAGAGGTAAAACTCAAACAAAATAGCATCATAATTACTGAGAAGTTGGACATATTGTGCAGTTAATGATTAAATATGTCGAAATAATAAAATGACAAAATAAACACTACGTTCGGATATGAAAATATGGTAGGGTAAATAGGGATTAAGATGAACTTAAAAATAACATGGATAAACCGGAAGTTTGGACAAAAAAAGGTAA